ACCGCTCTCCGCATTGAATTGATCACGCGAAGCAGTGAACTTCTCTGTTACGACATCGCACAGGTCCATCAGATCGTTGAAGCCCTTCTCCAGAGCCTCGAGAGCAGTAGTAGAGTCTGAAGCCAAGCAGTCAGTACATATTCCAACACTCTGACAATCCACAATATACTAGCAGGACATACCGTTGGTCTGGATGCGGACATTCATCTTCGGATCCGAAGGGTGGGGAATGGTGTAGCCGCAGAACTCAACGGCGGGGCTATTGAAGTTAGTGACGTTGTTCTCCAGGCCAGATCGAGGGTTTATTTATTTCCAATGCTTGCAAAAAAGAATACGGTACGATGAAGTAGTCTATCGTTGCAATCACAGGCCTCGCGATGTACTCACTTCTTCATAATTGCGTACCGCAGCGCATTGCCCATGGTGTGGCCTTCGCCTTCGAACTGGAATGAAGCGGCGGTTTCGGTGGCACCGGGAAGCTGCGGGGAAGTAAAGTATTAGCTTGGTGCTTTTTTGAATGAATATCCGGAGACCAATCCTGAGATCATGTCAGATCTCCTGGGCAGATCAGATACATACCACAACAATCTGTCTCTCCTCGAGAATGGGGTCGTTGGACTGGGGCAGCTCGGCGGGTTGCTCTGCGTCTACCATAGACTGGTCCATATCTTGGGAGTGGACGGACTCAGGCATTGTGTTTGATTTGGTGAGGGGTGAGAGGTAGGTGGTGATCTCACAGGTTCGACCCTATGTCGAAGGCTGTCTGAGTGGATGCGGGAGTTAGAGTTGGTAGGTGGTGGTTGGCTGTGTCGGGATTTTCAAGACAGTAGATCAATGTCTTTGCTAGCGTTGGGGTTGGAGGCTCAGTCGGACTTTTAGCGTAACAAATTTGCGCGATCTGGATCTCCAAGTCGAAGATTATCGCGAAGAAAAAAGGTGGGTTATCGATAGTCGGGTCTCACCGCCTGCTTCTTTTGTCATCTATAAAATCGCATCGTTGAGATCTTGTCTTTTGCGATAAGGGCGTCGGGATTCTTTTTAAAAAGCTTGTAAGTATAGTTGAAGTCGCTCGCATTCTCTCTTCAGTCGCTCTTCGCCATTCTTTGCGTTCCACGCGATCCATCGTATGGTGGTACTAGGTATCTATTTCTATGGGTTGAACATGTCCCTCGACCTATCTATTTCCTCACAATATGCTACAAACTCAATGGTGGATCAACATACAGCCTATGACTGCAACCATCATCCATTTACTAGTCCCCGAATATGGCGCACATACTCCGTACATATGCACATAATAATGTGATCTTGATGCAAGTATATCTTTCCATGGATACAGCCTATATGTAGGGATATGCACATTCCAGTGGGGAGTACTACTCCATGCTCACCTATAATATGGAGTAACAGGTGCTCCGTATTAGTATCTAGTTATCTGCGTGTGGGTTTACCTCTCAGATAGATTAAATGTCCTGACTGTGAAAATTCTGGATAGTCACAGCCCCAACAGTAAGAGATTATGAAACAAAGGTACTGGTAATATTCCACCTGGGCAAGGTTGGGCTAAGACTAAAGTTTATGGCCCCCAGGGCCATTGAGGCCCCAAATGTAAGCTATTTGTCATCTTTCATACCCAGGGCATCCATAGGACCGGTAGACATCGGTAACACCTTTTTAAGAACTACACAGGATGATATGCGAGTCTAAGGCACGCACCCATGGTCTGTGCATCGACCTCAAAATCAGAGGGGAAAAATTCCCTGTGGACTCAAGTGGTAGATTGGTTAGGGTCTATTGATTTTTATATTTCTGTTAAAGTACTCCGTAATTCAACCTGAAATAGGACAAGCCGTGGGTAGGGGCCAAAATAAATATCGGTTTCAGTTTCGGTTTCAGTGTAGGGTGTGTTCGCATGGGACAGATGTTGGTTGGTGCCCGGGGGTGATTCTTTTGTGGACGCCACACACTAGTGGCCCCCTTTCGATATAAGCGCCTGCGGCGCCATGTTTGACATATAACGCTGTACGAGTGGACGGTGATGTGACTTGTTTTTTTTTTGCTTTGTGTGCCGAGTCCACGTTTGGCATCTGATTCGATCAATATGGATCAATCTGGATAAATTTGGATCAATTTGAACATTTCGTTTCTAGAGAAAGGGGTTCCACACATATTAACGAATTATAGAAGTCCAAGTACTCCGTAAATGGAAATACGTATAAATAGAGAGACATGACATGGAACTATTGAATGCGGAGATTTATATACAATATATTCAATCTCGCTCTTTAATAAGAAAAATCAAAATAAAATGAACGGTGGACCCCCCTGGAACAACCATCAACATAGTAGAAACACATGTCTCAAGTTGGATCCACTGTGTATCTGGTACTTAGCTGGGGTCACCGCTGATGCCTCTTTCCCCTTGTACTTGTCGGGATTGATGTACTGTGTACTTTCTCTTTTAACTTCCCCCTGGATAGCTTGGACGATCTCTCTTTTTTTTTCTTAACCTAAGGGCCCAGACTCCCCCCCCTCCTCTCCTACACACTTTCTCGTCCATTTCTCTCGCTTGTATCTCTGGACTGCCGCCTGACGCTTAACCGCCTTTCTCTCCATCGTGGAGAGTATTTGGTACTCTCTTTGGATATATCAACCCGCCGATCCCACGTTTCGATCTTTCCGGGACCTTGCCCGCACTCCGGATGCCCTTGCATTTTGTGAAGGAGACTTATATCATACACTTGTGCAATACTTTACGTGATACCCTATTCGGGGGAAAATCATCGTGACCATGTCCACCGCAGTGGCATCCGCACCGGCCCCTTTGTCATCACCACACCCTACTCGCAACCCCAGCCCGAGAAACCTCCCGGCTTTGGCTCCTCCGAATAACATCCAATCCAATATATCTCCGCCCCGGATGTCCAAAAGTCCCCAGCAGGGATCCGCGGTACACGGCTCCCCGACCGAGAAGGGAGGTCCAGCATCCCCGTAAGTCGAGAGATACATAGAATCGGAGCTTCACATACTGACATTATCGTCAGGTCCCAAGGTGGCAGCGCAGCCCCACAGATTACCGTAAAGAAGGAACCGGGATCTTCCCCACGGATACAGACTCGGCCCCGGCCTCGGAAATTAGACCTTTCGACTAGTCTTCCATCCTCCAGTGGTTTATCGGTTCGCGCTCCTGGAGGGCCTTTGACAGCTTCGATGCAACATGTAGGCCTGGCTTGCCTATCACCTGGCTTCCAAACCCACGATCCGATCATGCGAGAGCAGCTGCAGCGCAGCCTGTCCGTGCGGGATCAACAGCGATCGATCATCGAACAGCGCATGCAGAGATCTGCCAAGGATGATGGTCCAGATGGGATTAAGCCTTCCGAGTCGAATTTGATGGGTATGCCCAAGACCGCAAAGCGCAGGCCGGCTGGCCTGTCCATCGTCCCTCCATCCGCCTCCCAGTTCGCAAACGAGCGAGTCATCCAATCCGCTCCGCTACACCAGACGTTCACAGGCAGGTACCAGCCACAGCCATTGACCCGCCATATTGTCAACCAGAGCCCGACCTTGGGATCGACATCCCACATGCACCAGCTCCCGGCAACCCAAACGAACAACCGTCTTCCTCCCCTCTCCGATGTCTTTGGTTCCGATGCATTGGGTCGCGACCGCGATGCTGGCCGCGCTAATATTCACTTGAACGCATCGAACAACTCTTCACAATCTAACAACTTGGCCCCAATGCCTTCCCCTGGTCTGCCGGGTAGCGTTTCCCAAACTCCCAACCGACCGCGTGAATATCACTCAGCCGAAGAGGCCGTGCAAGAGATGTCCGGGGGCCGTGAGGAGCTGCTGCCTCGCATTGTCCACTATGGAGGTCACCAACCTCCAACTCCGCCATCTCCACAAATACTCCACGCAGGCCCCAAGACTGCGCCTCTTGCCCCAGAACCCCCAGCGCCGCACGGTCCGCCCCCTGCTTCCTTTGGTATGTTTGCCCCATCTGATGTGACGGCACGTCGTCGCCCTCGGAGCGAGTATGAACACGACAACGGAAGTCCGCCGCTGGGTCACGGCCCCGACTCTCAATACCGGCCCAACCCAGCTTCCATGCCCGGCCCACATGCTTCATTCACTGGACCTTTCGGCGCAGGAAGAGATTCGCCCGAGACGCAGCGCAGAAAGAAGGATGAATTTCTGGGTCTATGTGCACGGGCTTGGGATCTATTCCACTCGTGATACGACATTCCCCTGTTAGTCTCAGAAGAAATGCCTCGTGCAGAGGCTTAGAGTTGGGACTACTTCGCAAGTATCTAGCAATGATGGAATTTGCTTGGATCTACTTGCTATCACATGCCCGACCAAACAGATCCCTTTCCCCCCCCCCCCGATTCAATCATTTGTATCCATCACACATCTGAGGAGTTTCCTGCCTTGGAATGCAAAGATCTTACTCTGATGCTTTATAAGTCCCAGGCGATCATTTGGTTTCAATGGCAAGTCCAACCCCAAATTCAATGCCTGGGCAAAATGCGAATGTCCATATCCCCCGACTTATCCTGGATGATCGAGTCGGGAAACCCTTCCCACACCAATGATGCTTGCATCAATATCATGTTATCTATGTCACGACAGTATTCACAGGGCACGTTGGGACCCTGTGAATTTTTGTGTTCGGGTTCCTTTCTGCATCAAGTTTGCTTTGGGCGTTGGTGGTTCCATGCTTCGTACTATACCTTTTTGAACTTTGGGAGATAAAACATCACGGTTATGAGTTCTCTGCCTCTTACTGGCCTGTTTCGATTGCCTTCGTTTCTTGTCTTTGCAGCTTTTTGCTATTGCCACATTGGCCCTCAACTCCGAGACTGGTAATCCTAATGCATCACACCTCACTCAAGATACAATATACCCGTGGACATGTAGATATTCAATATTCATATGCATGACACTATGCGCTTTTCATTCCCAGCTCAACGCCATAACCAAATACAAAGAAAGGCCTACTCCAATCTCCTCCTCTTTCCCCCATTAGGCATACCCCCATCACCACCACCCTCAGCCCCTCTCCTCTCCCAAGGCATCTCCTTCCGCTCCTTGGAAGTCATCTTCTTGCGTCTCCTCTCAAGTGCCTTTGCACGCTCCCGCGATCCCATCTCCTCATACTTGCGCTCAAGAACCTGCTTCTTCAAGTCCGAGTTCTTAAGATAGTATGGGTTGGCCTTCTTGCCCTCCCGAATCAACTGCTTTTCACGCTTTTTATGCTCAGCCTGCACCTCCGCCTCACGCTTCTTATTTTGCGCAGACCGCATTTTGTCCTGCGCCCGTCGAATCTCCCCCTTAAGCTTCTCCTTCTGCTGAGGATTCTTCGTCTTCCTCATCTGCTCCTTCAGATCATTAAGCTCAGACGCCCGGTACTCATCAAGGAACGCATATGCTGACCCGCCATGCGGGTGCTTCCCGACTCCACTGTGACCCATCACGGCCGCATCGAAGCGGGGATCCCGGGACCGTGGCGCGGGGGGGCAGTTCAACTGCTGTGCGTTTGCGCGTCACGGCCCGTTTGGACGATTGCTCCATGGGCGCGTGCTTGGATGATCTGCTTTTCTTTTCTTTCGATTTGGATTTGGCAGCTGCTTCGAGCTTTTGTTCGCGTGCCTCGCGCAGCTTCGTGCGGATTTCGTCGACTGTTGATGCTGTGTCATCTTTCGGTGTGCGCTTGTTGCGGTTCTTTTCGCGCATTGAGGCTTGGGCTTTAGCGAGGGCGCCGAAGGAGATGTCTGCTAGTGAGGCTTTGAAGTCGTCGTTGTCGTCGTCAACGTCGTCGTCGGATTCAGGTTCTTCTTCTTTGTCTGAGTCGCCAGCTTCGGACTCGGAGTCTGTGCCTACATCTTCGGAGTCGGAAGCAACTGACTGCTGGATTGTTTGTTAGTGCTGGTTCTAAAGCAGATGCATGGGTTGGCTTACTGATTGGATGGAACCGTTGGATTCGGCATCAGAGCCAGCCTGTGAGCCCTCATCGGAACCTGATGCCTCGGAATACTCATCTTCATCTGGCCGAGCTCGCACTCGGCGATTGAGCATGTCGGAAATAGCCATTTTGTTGTTTGTATTTGGCAGACCCCGCGGAGGAAGAAGAACTGTCAAAAAGAAAAATATTGCCGCTTCGAGGCGGTCAGTGCGATAAGAACTGATTAGATATTTTTCGCGATGCCGCATGTTGCGGACCTTGAACGCTCTTAGTCAATTTGTATTTGTTTTATAGATGTCCCTGCATTTTCTGCGTCGAGACTTCCCTCGCTTCTCATTCGCAACTTCATCCTTGCATCACTCTCAGCCTCTTCCTACAGCAGCCAATCAGGTATTGCCTCCACTATCATTCGCTACGTGGATAGCATGTTCGCCAATTGTTGATTTATTCTGACTTGTTTATAAATAGCTTCTTGCAGTGTCAAATTGCGGTGTACTGAGATCCCGACTGAACTTCTCTACTTTGCTCTCGTCACGTCCTACGTCCCTCAAGCTGTCTCGCGCAAATAAACGAACGAAGCGTGCGTCTCACGCCGCGGACCCCGAATACCAGTCGAGTTTGATCCCCCAGTATGCCGATTCTGCCTATTATGCAGTGAATATGAACCCTGTGTCAGCACAGAATGGACGGGGGCCAGCCGGCCGGCTCCTTCACACGGCTCTTGGGACCGCAATGCGCCTCGGGATACACATCGGAATGTGGGATATGGGAACTATCACGTACAAAGCAATCCTCCAGCGTCGCAGTACGCTCCTGTGCCCAACATGAACTCGAATTTTGGGTATCAGATTCCACAGGCCAGTCCAACGTCACAGCCTTATCAATCTCGAGGCCAAGCTCCTGCTATGCAACAGTATGGCCAACCGCATATGCCCTCAGGACAGGGCCAACAACAATTTGGCGCTTTCAATTCCCTACCACAAAACCCAATGGAAATGGACCAGGCTTTGTTCCAAATGGCGCAGAACATGCCGTGGATGTACCCGGGCTTTGATAGCGGGGTGCCATTTCCACCCCCATTTCCTCTCCTCCCTTTCGATATGAATACCCCGCTACCCTTCCAAAACACCCGACCTATGAGCACAATGGCCGGTGGTGCAGGAGGGCGATTCACACCTGATGTCCAAAGACAACGGTCACCAACACCGCCAGTTAAAGTCCCACTTCCAACACTCCAATACACAAATCAAGCATCGCTGAAGCCAGAGAAGACGGAAAAGCGACCACTTCTCGTCATTCTCGATCTCAATGGCACCCTTATCTACCGCAAGCTACGCAAATTCCCGCCGAAATTCGCTAGGCGCACTGGTCTAGATCATTTCCTAGCCACGCTAATCGAAAACTACAAAGTCATGATCTGGTCCAGCTCCCAGCCCCCGACTGTAAACGCAGTCTGCGAGCAGATCTTCCCAGGTCCCATGCACGATTCCCTCGTCGCTATCTGGGGACGAGACAAATTTGGCCTCACTGCCGGCCAATACAACAAAAAGCTCCAGGTCTACAAGGAGCTGCATAAAGTCTGGGCGGATCCAAATATTCAGGGTGCCTTCCCAGGCAACGAGCATCTAAAAGACTCCCCTGCCTCATTATCAGGCACACAATCGACACAGAATAACCGCAAGCAAAAGCACCGCGAAGCTGAGACCGCAAAACTCCCCGCGGGCCACCGCTGGGACCAGACGAACACAATTCTCATCGATGATAGCAAGCTCAAGGCTTCCAGCGAGCCATTCAATATCCTCGAGATTCCGGAATTCAACGATAATCCCAATATCGATGAGACAAAGCTCTTCATCAAGGTCCTCAACCGCCTCGATTATCTCGCCCACCACGACGACGTGAGCAAGGTCCTCTGCACCTGGAACGAGCGCGTAGATAGGGGCGAGGGCAATATTCTTGAACTGGATATTGGCCTCCATGAGGATTCTGTCGACAACGAGGATGGCGGGATGAGTCTCCTCCCAGAGCAGCCGAATGCGAACTCTAATGGCGATCCCATGATGCCCAATGGTCTGGGGACTATCCCTGCTTCTACAAATGCTAAGCCCAAGGTCAAGAAAAATAAGAAAGCCAAGGCTAGAGACAAAGCGAATGCCGCCAACAATACAACTACAACTCCAAACACTGCAACCACCAACCCGCCAGCCATAAACTCAACCCCACAGCCCCAGAAAACAGAAGAACAAAAGGCCGAAATCAAGCTGTCCCGCAAAGCACGCAAAAGAGCCAAGAAACAAGCCGCGCTAGAAGAAAGTCGCGTCGCAAATGTTGTCGCCGAAGCCGAGACCCACGAATTACCCACGCTGAGCTCCAACAATGTACCGAGCAATCAAGTTGTCGCCGGCACCGAGCCAGCCATAGATGGTGCCGGGGATGAGTCAGACCCTCACGCTCGAAGTGGAAAAAGTCAGAGATCTCTTCGTCGCAAACAGAAGGCTGCCAACAGAAAGGCTCGATTGGAAGCTGATGCCCCCAAACCCCCTCCTGCGTCTGAGAATGCCGGTCTGGCAGAGCCGAGATACAACTTTAGAAAAAGGGCTATGTGTCCTCTCGAATCTAGTGATGAACAGCCATCTGGAGATGTCCCTGTCTCCACTTCTATTTCTGGTTCTGGCTCTGGTCCCGGGACAGATTTTGAATCCGCCTCCGCTGCCGCCCACGCCTCCAATGCCGCCAATGTCGTGACAAGCGGATTATCACCCGAGTATCTCCCCCTGACGCGGATATAACTGAGGGTATGGAACTTGATGTAGCTGAGTATGTTCCACCGGATGCCGTGTCTGAATCAGGTGCTAAGCATGACCGGTCTCCGTCGCCGGCTTCGTCGACTGGGTCGGATAATTGGCTGCTTGATCGTCTTGAAGAGGGCCTTGGGATTCACAAGCGTTGAGATGGTTTAGTTGTCACGGTTGATGTGTGGATTCTGAGCGTTTGGGATCTTTTTGTTTTGTCGTTGCCTTGCTTTCGAGATATCCCGCACTCTGTATTGTTACCTTCCAAGGTCTTGAAGTGGTAGTTTGTACTGATGTTCGATGTATTGTCTTGGAATACTACATCGTCAAGGCATTGGCCTACCATACTAGTTTTGATTATTTATTATGTAGAGCTAAGTCCATGTAGACTGGCTAGAAATGTTCAATGTAAATAGCACGTTACTACTTATCGTATCATGGTAATCACTTTGTTTCCATATGTGGCACTCGAGATATATATCTTCCAGGTTGTATATAGAAAAGTCACCACAGGAAGAAAGCAACCATAGAGACGATACTGGAACAAAGCAGTGACTTCAAAACCCAACAAAGAATGCAATATAAGATACACCAACTATACCCGTCGAATTTCAATTGCACGACCAGACACGGAACAAAACCTCCGACATTACATCCAAGAAGAGGTACTGTATTTGCGCGTGCGCACGAACTTGTAGGATCGGTTTGACTTGGCTTCTATTTGGGGACTGCGTTTGGATATTTATGAAGGTTCCTTTGGCCTTGTCGAGTCGAGATGTGAGCAAGGAAATGGCAAGTTATGCACTCATTTTACTGAGAACTGGGATGAGGATTCTTTAACGGAAGGGTGTTGATGTCGACTTGTCAAGTGCCTAGCCCCATCAAATTGTTCTGGCTACTGCCTAGGTTTTGTTGCCTCGAAGATACTGTCTAGCTTGTATCAAGTTGCTAACAATCGTCTCAATTTTTGATTTACAGTCAAGGGGAACATTGGCAAGTGGAAGAATATGGCAGTTTCACGGGCATTCTCGGATTCAAGTGAAGGGCAGGATTGGACTTGAAGCGAGAGGTGATTTGATGGTTTCTTTAAATCTTAGTGGTTCAGAGAAACTGCATGTTTTCTAGCTGAGTCCAGGTATTCAAATGGCCATTTCTTTGCTCCTGTAAAATCAATGCCTATGACTGCGGCCCTTGGCACTAAGCCATTTAATCCCGCCTGGGCATTGTCGTCCTGGAGATTCAGGCGTGGGAGGCGTGGAGACATCATCCATCCTATCAATCACCAGGCTGCGCAGGTGATGTAAGCCCATTTCCAACGGAACCCTTCCACCATGTGAATATTCGGAGCACCGGATTGGCTTTTGGGAAGACTTGCCAACCAAGCCAGGCAATGCGTGAGACTTCGAAATGTGAGAGCTCCGACACCTCTCTGCTCTATAATGCAGTGTCTATAGTTTGTCAGTCGAACCTGACAATCCATCTTCCCATATACTCATGTACCGGTAAGCTTGAATTTGGCACTCCAACCACGGGGTTTCTAATATGGCCCTGGAAGCGTGTACCTTTATCTTCGAGAACAGACCTGGCATGTTGAAAAGTTGTCTCTTTTCTTCAAACGTGTCGGGAACCTGGAAACACGCAAGGCCTAGGATGCTATAACAGACACGGTATATCGAAGAACATATGGTTTCAGATGCCTTTTGAATGACTGAGACGGGCCAACACGGTGCAGATATAAGGATCCGCCTTTCGTTTTGCTTGGGCTTTTGATCGAGTTTGTGGTACTTTGAAGATTGGCCACAGTTACTTCCGGGATATTTCATGGATCTCGGTCTGGTCTGCATCTTCTTCCTCGCAGTGTGGTTGTGCCATGGCCTGTTCATGTATATGATCAGCCTGTGTTCGGTCTGTCTTTTGCCAAATTCGGGCATTTTTGCCGCAGATTGACTCGGCAGGCTTGTCGTTGAAGGGGTAGATAGGAGTCCAGACCTGAAGTGACAGGAAAGTTATGCCAAAAGACAAACACCATTCCTGCAACGTTGAAAAATCGGAGATCAGGACCACAGAGCCCGAGGTGGAAGATTTTATATAGACTGGGTGTGTCTGGAAGTGAAACAGAAATCAAGCACCATCAATGGGTTGAATCCATTCATTGCTTCAAGCATCGTTCTGAACCCGCGGGGGGATGTAGTGGATGGGCTAGTGTCAGAGGCGGGAGTTCACCACCCTACAACCTTGACAACATATAGCATAAAGTCTTTGATACTGCATGTTAGCCAAATGACATTGATGTTGCTCTCAAACCTGACTTGCCTCCCACAGTACTGGCTACTACAACATTGTCTGTTATCAGCCAGCACCAAGGACAAACTCGGATCCCTTTATATACCGGTTTTGTTTCAACCCGAGAGACCTGAGTTTCCCATGTATAGTCATGACAATGACGATGATAGAGGTGAAACGAGATGGACATGAAGGCATCAGGATGTGAGGATGAGGATGATGATGACGAAAATTCAATATAATAAGGCCAAAGAATATATAGACAGCCTGAAGAAAGACAGCTTGATTGACGAGCAGGAAGGACGTGGTTGTGAGGGTAGTTGTATAAGGAAGCAGGAGCAAATAGCGACTTATATCCGCGCCAAAAGGCAGGTAGGCAAACAAATGTCAAGATTGACATAGGCAAGCGACAAAGGGAATCTGATAAGGGAAAGAGGAAGGACAAAAGGAGAAGACGTGCTATAGGTATCTCCAACTGCTAATGCGCCATACCAGACCTTTGCCCATAGTGAATTACAGGAATTCAGCCATCAAGTTGCTATGAGGATTAAATTGAGTCATATACTACGGAGTATCACAATTTCAGCAAGACTTCACACACACAGAATTCAATCATCAAGAATTCCCTTTGGATTAGGAGTTCTATAGAGACAAAAATCGTCGGCCGCTTATGCGGCCTTACGTAGTCTTTCTAGAAGTCTTCTTTCCAGAAGCTTCCCTTCCCTCGATCTTCTAGGAAGAGACAGAAAAGAAAATATGCTTAGCCCGTGCCGACAATTCTTCTATGTACAATGTCGTCAAAATTGGTGCTACAGCCTTTATCAAGGCCATAGATAACAGTCACAGACCTCCTGCTAGATACTTTGAGAGCAGGAAATTGACAATTTCATACTTAGTACGTATCAGATCATCAATAGAAGATCTCCCATCATATACATGCTTAGTATAGTTCTTTACTGTACAGTTCCCTTGATCAAAGACCCAAAGCCCCAAGGCCGAAGGTTGATATACTTGGTCAAACTCAATGTGATATTCGGCTGGTCAAAACGACGCTATACGGCTGGTAAGACGGCCGTAATATGTCTTACAAGTATGAGTCTAAGAGGGCTAGGGATGAGGAATAAGGCAACTTGGCCGTGAAAAAGCAGCTTCGCGTACTATCTTAGGGCTATATCCATGGACACCATGCGTTTTAGGAAGGCGGTATTGGGGATGGGAAATATCTACTGGCAAGACCGCACAGTTCAAGAGCAAGCTGAGTAGCCCAATACAAATTTCTACGACACATCAGACAATTTACAAATACACAGGAAAAAAAATGTGACTCAAGAAATCAGAGGACTTTCTCTGTTCTTTCATTGCTAGATCTAAACTAGCAGCGACCTGGCCGGCTGGGATTGTCATACTAGCAAAACCCAAACCAACTCAGTCGATCATCATTCCACGTCGCAACGTATTCATAACCGTGATTCAACATCAACACATAAGACCATAGGTCAAGATATTTGGATAATCCCAAAGAATTTCAGGCAGAGGAAAGAAGAGAATGGACGTGAGGCGTACGGTGTCTTTTAGCACAGCACGTCCATCGGGGTATTGGGGGATGAAATTTTATAGGAGAAAGGGAAGGTGGATCGGGGCGAACACGCTTATTTGAAGACGTGGCCGTCGGTCCACTCCTTGACCTCGCCGTTAACGGTGACGGGGACATCCTGGGCCCACATGTCCTCGACGAGCTTGCGGTCAGCCTCGTTGGAGGGGTCGAGCTTGGTGAACTCGTAACCCTCGTAGTCGGGGCCGACAGTGAAGGCGGGCTCCCACTCCTGACCGCGGGTCATGAAGGCACCGTAGACAACACAGTTGTAGTTCTCGCCGTAGACGGACTGAGCACCGAAGAGGTACTTGCGGGAAGCCTCAAGACGGGTCTGGAAGCCAGCAATCAAGTTGTTGGCCATGAAGGTGAGCTTGAGCTCGTTGTTGTACTTGTAGTTGACCTTCCAGAGAGAGTACTCATCGGCCTTGAAGTGCTCCCAGAACCAGGGCATGGCAACGGTGCGGACGTCCTCGTTGGAGAACTTGCGCTTCCAGTCATCAAGGATGAGAGTGGGCTTGCCAAGAGCCTCAAGGGGGTGCTTGGGCTTGGGGGCCTCGGCGGCGGGGGCCTCAGCGGGGGCAGCGGCAGCGGCCTTGGGCTTGGGCTCCTTCTTGGGGGCGACGTACTTGATCACCTCCTCAGCGAACTTGGGGCTGGGGACGACAGCCTTGAAGGAATCCTGGTTGATGATGGTGTTGTACCACCGGGTGGTGGCGGGGTTGGCCTCGCGCCAGGTCTTGTCAAGGACGGTGGCGAAGGGGCGAGTGAGGAGAGAGACAGCGAAGATATCAGCCAGGGTGATACGCTCACCAACCAGGTAGGTGTTGGCAGTGAGGTGAGTCTCGAAGGCACCGAGGGCCTTGAGGGCAGTCTTGGCGGCCTCATCGGTGGTCTTCTTGTTGTAGGCATCGAGACCCATCAAAGGACGGTACCAGGCAGCGAGCTTGGGGAGGACCTCAGTGTTGGCGAAGGACATCCAGCGGAGGATGGAAGCGTAGTCCTGCTTGGTCTTACCGAGAAGGGTGGTCTTCTCGTTCTGGGAGGTGACTATAGACAGGACGTGTTAGTCAGGTTGCTTTGAGACTCAATTGGGTCCAACAATGGAACAAGCATAGGTGCCAACGGCACAATGTGTCCATTTCAAAAGGGGCAAGTCGAGTCCAAATTTTCCCGCAGAGCGGGGTAGCCAAAAAATTTTCAGAGTTGTTTTTTTCTCAACAGTTACAGTTCTGACAGGGATAACTAATGGTATCTCATCATAAAGAATAGAGGCGTAAAAAT